GCACCACCCTCAAGCACGACTCGTTGATATCTACCTGTTAGATAGCTTTTAAACCATTGTAACAGCGGCCCAGAGATGCCTAAATTTTCTATCTTTAGCAATAGGAGGCGATGGGATACTCTATCGAACGCCTTACATGTAGATAAGTCGAGGTAAAGCACATCTGTTTCTTTTCCACAAGCGAGGTTGGTTAGAATATCGTGATATACTTGTAGCAATTGCGAGACTGTTGATTTCTCTTTTAAAAATCCGTGTTGGAGGTCATAAATATTGGATGTGAGATAGGGATAGCAGTGCGTGTTTACACATCTCTCTAAAACTTTGGAAATAGAACATAGCAAAGAGATTGGTCTATAGTTGGAAGTAAGTGTTGGATCGTCAGTCTTAAAAACAGGTGCAATGTTTGCAAATTTCCAGTTAGTGGGAAAAACACCAAGTGAAAGAGACAAATTGAATACAGAACATAACGACGGCGCAATTTCATCGGCCACATGTTTTAGCAGTCGATTATAGGGATACCATCGGGGCCGCTAGCCTTGTTTGGATCTAGTCCTTTGAGAACACTATTAGCTACTTCACATGTTCACAGTTGAATATTATTGGCAGCCTAATTTGTGCGGTAGGCAGTAAAAAGAAGATTTTTAGCGTCGCATGGAATTGTGGTCGTGCGCATTTGTCTGCGCAGTTTTCATAAATCCGTCTCACCTCACTACACATGCGCAATCAGCTCAAATTTGTCTCACTTCAGTGCACGTGATCTGTGCTGATATTGTTCAATGCGCTTTGGAACGTATTGGCATATTGTTCAACGCGTGCTCTGTGCTCATATTGTTCCTGAACGCGCTTTGGAACGTATTAGCATATTGCGAAGAAAAGAGATTCGAATTAGACTATAAAACATTAAAAAGGTAAGAGATTTTAACCTTATAAATTGTCCTAATATTGTAAAGTTGGCTACGGCTTGATATTTTTTATTGACTATTAATGTAGTGCGAAGATCATTATTGGTGGTATTGGATCATTATTTGGTAAAAGGTACGAGATATCAACCGATATTCTGTTTTTCAATAAGCGCAAGATTGGCAGTTGTTTGTTGTTTTGCCTGATTTTTTAGTTTAATTTGTTTCGCTATATACACCGTGTAATATTAGCGCAGTTGGTGGCTGGATATTTGGTTTAGCATTTCGTGCGACGTGTGACAGATAGTATTTGTATGTGGCGTATTTGAAATATATCGTTTATTGTTTTGCTTGCTTCGATTTATAAACTATTTTTAATCAGTTGAAGTTTTAAGATAGAAAAACATTTTACTAGCTTTGGCCCTTTTAAAATTTTGGCGTATTTGAGCCTCGTGTTCAGTTGGCGTCTTTGCTCGCCTGACACCTCGTGCGAAATATTACTATTAGACTATAAAACCTTAAAAAGGTAAGAGATTTTAACCTTATAAATCGTCCTAATATTGTAAAGTTGGCTATGGGATATTTTTTATTGTTACCAATAATGATCCTGTACCACCAGGCGATCTTCGCACTACATTAATAGTCAACAAATTGAAAATCAATAAAAAATATCAAGCCATAGCCAACTTTACAATATAAGCCATAGCCAACTTTACAATATTGTCCTAATATTGTAAAGTTGGCTATGGCTTGATAATTTTTATTGATTTTCAATTTGTTTGACTATTAATATAGTGGGAAGAGTCACTATAGGTGCCTGGTGGTACTGGATCATTCTTGGTAAAAGTGTTACGAAAGTATTAAAAATAGTATAAAAAATAGTTCAATTTGCACCCCAGGTAATTATAAAATACTAATTACGTCGAATGGAGAGATAATGAGCATAATAAAACGGATTAAGTAAATCTCATTTCGGACTTGAGATTTAGATAGACGGATAGATAATTCGTCAAACTGTCAAAGTTGACCGATAACCTTGCATGGTGGCCTGTTGTGTTTACATAATCCAAGGCTGGCCCTTCATTGACCGTGAATGAGTGCATGCTTAGGGCGTTTCTGTCAATCATTCTTTGGTATATTTCGCGCGGTTGAGTAATGATAACATTACGTCATCAAAATCTTGGTTCAATAAAATTGTAAGTAAATTTAGTTTAGTATATATCGTTTATTGTTTTGCTTGCTTCGGTTTAAGGTTTTAAGATATAGAAAAACATTTTACTTTGGCCCGTTAAAAATTGTTTTCGGCGTATTTGAGCCTCGTGTTCAGTTGGTGTCTTTGCTCGCCTGACGCCTCGTGCAAAATGTTACTATTAGACTATACAAATTAGTGATGGGCGATACCAGGATTTTTAATTCGATACCGATACCGATACTTTTAAGATCGGTATCGGCCGATACCGATACCTATTTCGATACCAAACTGAAGACAAAATTTCAATTTTCGATACCGGAAGTGAGTACTTAAATTGCTAGTATCGGCTACTTTCGATACCTGCCGCTCAGCGGAAAAACCTTTTACATTACTGTATGTAACCTAAATAAAGGTATAAGTAAAGTAAACCAAAAGCCCGAAACGTAATAAATATTTTCTATACATGACTTGGCGCACCACATTTGGAATATTAACAGTTATTTTAGTGGTTCATTAAGTCTTATTCAACCAAGAAGTGAAATTAAACCAGTCTTTTAAAAACGGGTGCAAATATCGAACGATACCACGTCAGTAATCGATACCGATACCGCTGTTTGTGGTATCGCTGGTATCGAATACCGAGTACTCGGTATCGCCCATCACTAATATAAATTGTCCTAATATTGTAAAGTTGGCTATGGCTTGATATTTTTTATTGATTTTCAATAGAGAGGACGGTGATGCTGAAGGCTTGCCGAACACAGAAAAAGTCGAATGCCCTGCAGAAGGAGTTTCATCTCTTCAGCGCTTTTCTTCCTGCAAAAAGTGCCAAACGAAACTAATTCGAAATGATGAAAAACAATTGGTTAAATGCGCAGAGTGTGGTTTGGCGCAATTATTCCACAAATGCCAGCAGCGTTTAATCGCAAACGTCATGTTCTTGAAGGCGGGAAATACAATATCTCATTGTATCATATTTACACAAGTCAAGTCGCTGGAGGTTCCACGGAAAGCTTTGAATCGTTAGATGACGATTCTATAATAGAATTTCTGTTAACCGTTGAAGCTACTGTTTGCTACAACACCAAGAAAAACGTTGTCTCGGTGGACAAAAAAAACTGACAAATAAGATAATAGTTAAGTGCTTGGACAATTTAGTGCTCACATACAATTGTGCTTGGACACATTATTTCTTATTTTGTTTCAAGTTATGTTAGATTAGTATATTAACCTTGTTCATTGAAATATTTCACCTCTTAGAGTTCCACATATCTACTTTTTAATATTATACAACTTTAATATACAACCTTACAAATCGTACTTTTGTTAGGTGCTTATCATCACTATTTGCTTTTAATGCCCGCAGCAATCCCTACCTTGCAGGTACCCTAGTATAATATATAAAGCTCGCTATTGCGGGTTTTTATGTTTGAATTATTCAACATCGATTTGTATATCCTTTTTAGTTTCCTATGCACAGAAAAATATTTGAAATACAAATAAGTACCCGGCATATGGGTGGTTCAAACTTTTTGGGGGTGGTGATGTTTAAGTGTAGACTCTTAAGGGCGCAATAAATGTTGTTGTTGAAATATAATATCCTTTCATATATAGACTCAGACAAGTGTCGAATATTCTGCTAAATCTCTGTTCTCTCTCTGTTCCTCGCATATTATTTGAATGCACTACTTACTAGTTGCAAACGGTTTGTTAGTCATTGTATAGTATTTGTATATTTGTATTTCATAATATTTTGTTTCACGGCAGGGGCCTATATTATAATGATCATGGCGTGCGCGAATTCAGCACGCAAAAAACGCGTTGGACTTTCGGGCACATAAGACAATGTTAATGTGGATCGTTAATAAGTAGATTTTGTCCAGAATACAGCTAACTTTGGTCCTACAATTAGACTTGTAAGCATTGTAATCTGGAACGGTCGTTTTAGTGCAAATTATATTGACATTGTCCGAGACATTGTTGTATTCACAGCAACATTTTCATATCTGTGGCATAATCTTTAAGATTCTAATTAGTACATTGCAGTATATGAGTAAAAGGTTTCGTGATAATATTTTTGTACATATCCATGAATGTTTAATGTGCCCGCAAGCCGTGTTTTAAAACATTAAGTTAATTTCCATTATCACCGCCTATATCTTGTCACATGACCAGTTTCCATAGAAACCAAATAGTCAAAAAATATCGGCAGTTGATTTCCAACATCTCACCCAAAAATACGAGTCATAGTGTACTTTGTTAATTTTTAATTAATTTTTAAAGATTTTTCCTATTTTCCCACTTCTTACGAAATTGGAGCCAGGCATTAATGCACCTGAGTTTATTCTACCGATAAATAAAGGGTTTTTTATTGACTGGGATTTCAATAACTCGGACTGGGATTTCTAATAAAAATCCAACTGGAACTGGGATTTTGCCAAAATTTCAGGTGGAAAATGGGATTGCCCCCCCCCCCCC